AACCAAGAAAGGAGTCCCACATGGACCTACTTTTTGTCCCCTACGGTACCGAAGAACCAATTTTCGACTTTAGGGAGAACCTACTAACTACAGCCATTCAGTAATGAAAACTCCATCCATCCACCCAGAAAGCAGTTTGCACGCTCATGCAAGCAATCAAGACCCTAGAAGAGTAGGAAAAGAAACCCAGAAACAACCCCAACAGGACATCAATACCATGCACACACTCATGGCATCCCGCAGGTGCACGACACGTACCTGAGTGGCCTAAGCTTTGAGATGAAGTTTAACTCACCTCAATCTCATATGGTCCTCCGGACCCAATCAGCAACCTCTACACTAGTGTCCTGCCACCGAGGGTCGACCGTACACCAAAGTACAACGTCGGATCCCCCGTCTGTGAGAGGCTAGAGGGTGAGCCGAGGGAGAGGAGAGAGAGAGAGGGAGAGAGTGAGAGCACACACACACACTCACTCACTCGACACGACTGACTCGGACTGAGGGTCGGACGCAGACACAGTGGCAAGGCACAAAGTTGAAGTCTTGGATTCAGAATGCCGAAACAGCAAGTCACACTGAGTACGAGTACAGCAGCAAAAAACTGGTACGAGACTGGTCCTCGTACCGTACGGGGAGCCGGTATAAGTACCGGTGAGACACGTACGGTATTGGGGGTATTTCTGCAAAGGCCCCGAGGGCAGAACTGAAAAATGCGGTATTTGAAAGTGGCGCCCGAATTGCAGCATGGCGCCAATTGTCCAAAATCCTACGGTACCAAAGGAGGGGTTTGGAAAAAGGGTGCCAGGCCGAAAACGGGATGCAGCCGAAACAGCAAAAAGATAGACCAGGGATCGAGCCCTGGCGGAGTCCGTAACACTATCCCCTCCCTCTAGAAGGCAACGTCCCGGCTGCCAAAAATCATGAAGCAATGCTGAAATCTGTGAAGGACGGGACGGGGCCGATCACTGGTTAACAAGTCGAAAGGGAAGAGGGGTATAATGTGGGTGGCATGGGCTGCGTGAGTAACAGGGAACAGGGTTTGGTACCGGTGAACAAAGTTGTCCTACTGATAAACTAGGGGGGGTGCAGGGAACAGGGTAGTCCTACACATGAACTACAGGGACGGCAGGGAGCAGGGTAGTCCTACTGATGAACTAAGGGGACTGCATGTTTTGCTACGGGTTAAGGGGGAACAGAGTTCAGGGAACAGGGGACTTCTATTGAAGTTCTACTGGGTAAGGGAAACAATGGTCAGGGGAACAGGGGATGTCTATCAATGTTCAAGTGGGTACGGGGCGGACGCCAAATTGCGTCTGGATCAGCCAATGGTTGTAAGGCTCGCTGCACGTGAGGATAATCCAGTGCAGGGCTGGCCAGCTCGGCAGATACTCGGGGCACAGGTGTGGGCCGAACACACACCTTTTAGACACGCGACGCTCTCCAGATTGCTTAGGGACGCTGACGTCAAGTGATACTAAGGGGAACTAAGGGAGGGGTAGATTTCAGGTGATAAGTTCGGGAAGAAAATTCCATACTGTCCTATCCACAGAAATGATTTTGTTTTTATGTTTTGATTAGTTAGGTTTACGGCCATTGACATCTGACAGAGAACATTAGTTAGAACTGTTTCTTGCTCATGATGCTTCTGTTTGCGGACTAGTCAAACTAAAAATAGTTCTATTTGTAGGAATCTGACTTACCTGTTGACCCCAAGTGTATGTACTCCGAAATAGCCACCGGTTAATTGGTCTGTGCACTACGCTGCGGTAGGCATCTAGAGTGCATTAGTGCAGCTTGTGTACAATGCTGTAGCTTATGAGCGACGAGGAGGACAATAGACAGGACGACCGGATCTTGCGATTGGCAAGGCGCCCACTAGCCCATTTGGCATTAGGTCCAGAGGGTGATAGGTACCTGTTCCGCCAGTGTAGAGAGAGGTTGTAGCAGCAGAGGAGGGCTAGAGCGACAGAGGCTAGTCGAGCACTTGTGAGTGAAGCCGCAACTTCAGAAGCTATGGCTACTTCTACGCAGTAGACTACTCAGGCCGGTAGTTCAGGATCTGTTGGGTCAACGGTCGCACAGACCCAGAGTCAGTCCACTGGCGTAATGGCGAGCCAGCCTGTAGTGTTGACCTCCGATGAGATCGCCATACAATAAGCAGCTTTGCAGGAGGCACAACTACAAAAGGCATCAGGAGAGATGAAAGCGGAGAAAGGATGATTAGAAGAAGAGCCAGGTGCAGCGGAGACAAGCGGACGTAGGATGATTAGAAGAAGAGCCAGGTGCAGCGGAGACAAGCGGACGTTAGTGAGTTAGAGGAGATGGACTTGATGCATGTGACTGATGACGTGAGGATCGTATGGTCCGTCCTGCTAAATGTAGTTGAGATGCAGGACCATCAGACAACCATCCTTCGGGACATTCAGCAAAGTCTGGCCCTGTTGGTTGGGCGAGTGCAGACAACGTTGCCAACGTCCGGGCCTGGTGCCTGGCCCATTGTACACCTCCTCCTTTTGTCCCATCGGTGACTAGGGTATCCCCATATGTAGCCCCATCATCGGTCGCGATCGTTTCCGTGGGCATGCCGCTATCAGGAGGGGTATCAGCAGGGTCTAGTTTGCAGGTTCCTGTACAGACTGTGTTCACCCAATCTCCGTTGCAGGTTGCGGTTACCACGTAGCCTGCTGTCTCGCAGTTTGTGCAGCCGCAGGGTACGCAGCCCCAGCAGCTAGCACATCAACCTGTGTCACACGGTCCACAGCCCAGAGTGATGCAGGGACCGGGACAAACACAGTGGGTTCCAAAGATGGCCATCGCCACTCCCAAACCTTGTACAGGGGATAAGAGGGGCGAAAACCTCGACACGTGGTTGAGGGCAGTGCCGGTCTATGTTAGGTGTAAACTTACCTTGCCGGGTGAAGAAGTGCTTGTGGCTGCCTCCTACCTAGAGGGTAGTGCAGCAAGATGGTTGAGTGGTTTAGTGCAGCTCCAGGGGTATGGTCATGACTTCCGCGCTTGGGCGGTCACCCAGAAATTGGATGATTTCCTTACGCTGGTGGAGGAAAGGTGGCATGATTCTCAGGAGGCCCAAAGGGCCACTGACGCGATCCTGACACTGCACACACGGCAGTTCAAGTCAGTAAGGGAACCCACCAATGTTGTTGAGCATCTGATCTGTCCCAGGGGTGCGCTATGACCCCCAGGTACTACTCACCTCCTACCTGAGATGCTTCTCCTTGCCTCTCAGGAACCAGTTGGCAGGTGAGGCCAACATCAATATGCACAACTTTCCTTCGTTTAGCAAGAAGGCCCTAGACCTTGAGGCGAAGATAGGGCATGGACAGGCACCCACTACAAACGGAAGGAGGAAGACACTGCCTCCTAACTGGAAGGCGAAGGGCCGCATTATGTTTGTCGATAACGATGGTTCAACCATCAAACTAGACGACAACTTCCAGGAAGGAGTAGGTTCAGAGGCAGGCAGCACAGAAGCTTCAGATGGTGGAGTAGTCGCTGCCGTAGCTCAGAAAGTTAAGGCGACCGGTAGACGCCGTGGAGGTTCCCGGTCTCGGAGTCAAGTTGACCCCAATGCTCCATGGGAGAAAGCGGGTCTCACTGAGGATGTGTGGAGAGATCGATATTCACAGCAGGCCGATATTCGTTGTGGCCAATATGACCATAACCAATTCAAGTGTCGCAATAAGAAGGTGACCGATAAGATCCCGCCTACGATGGGGCAGGTGTTGGGATCCTCCCATCCCGTTGGTAGCAACGTGGCTAGTACTTCTGGCAGTGCTCCGGGTAACACGTCGGGCCAGTAGGAATAGTAGTTGTTCCTGCTAGGGTCGAGGTGGTGGAGACACCCTCACCATCTCGAGAGATGGCCCAAGCTACTGACTCCAGCGTCATCCCGCAAACACGTTCAGACCCATTGAGCCTCTGTTCGATGAATGTGTTTGAGTCCTTAGAGGAGCTAGAGGAGTGGTCTAGATCAGACCCACTAGCTTCTTGGACGGCCCTAAGGGTGAAATGTTCGTCAGCGAGGTTGTCATTGGCGGCCGCAAGGCCGGGGCCTATTATGACACTTGCTCGACTAGAAACTTTGTCAGTCGCGCGTGCGTTGAGAGGCTGCGCTTACAGGGGCAAGTGCAGCGCCTGAGTCGACCTGCGGAGTCGACCTGTGCCAACAAACAGGGCATGGTAGTCAATGACTACCTCCAGGATGTTGAGTGTTGTTTCCCGTACGCGGGAGGGGAATTGAGACATTGCGTCTCGTTCCTAGTGAGCGATGAACTCCCCATGGATATGTTGTTAGGTATGTACTACCTCTCTGTGGCACAACCCCAGTTTGACTGGGACCGAAAATTGGTCAAACACATTTTGCCAGGTGGAGGGACCGCCAGATTGCACAAGTTCAAAGCTAGTAGTCTGATCGAGTCCCATGGGTGCATGTGTGCGGCCGCGTTCTATAACTATTATAAGCAAAATCAGGAGGAGGGTATGTACTTAGTTTATGTCTCTGCTGCAGGCGAGCCGGTGAAAATGCCGCCGGAGATAGAGGGAGTAGTTGCCAAGTACCCTGATCTATTTGAAAAGCCGACAGGGGTTGTAGAGAGGGAGGTCGTCCACGCGATAGAGATTATCCCAGGGTCTAGCATCCCGAAGGGTAGGATCTATCGGATGTCTCTAGGCGAGCTCGATGAGCTTCGCCGACAACTCAAGGAACTCGTAGAGAAGGGTTGGATCCGACCGAGTGTCTCTCCTTATGGGTCTCCAGTATTATTCGTACCTAAGAAGAAGGAGGGCACACTCAGGATGTGCATTGACTATAGGGGCCTCAATGCCATCACTGTTAAGAATAGAGAGCCCCTACCGCGCATCGACGATTTGCTAGATAGAGTGCAAGGGTGTCGGTACTGCAGTAAAATAAATCTGAAGTCCGGGTACCATCAGATTGCAATCCGGCCCGAGGATCAACACAAAACCGCCTTTTAGACCAGGTACGGTCTGTACAAGTTTGTGGTGATGCCTTTCGGCCTTTGCAATGCTCCTGGCACCTTTCAGCACGCTATGATCCGGATATTCCATGACTACTTGGATACGTTTGTCATCGTGTACCTCGATGACATACTTATTTTTAGTAAGACTGTCGAGGAGCGCGTTGCACATTTGGACGAAGTCCTCAGTCTCCTGCGACAGCACAAGTTCAAGATCAATGGTGAGAAGTGCGAGTTTGGACGCACCCGTGTCTTGTACTTGGGTCATGAGATTTCCGCGGAAGGGTCGAAGTCCGATGACGGGAAGGTGGCCAACATTCATGACTGGCCGCATCCTCAGTCTGTGACTGAGGTGAAATCTTTCTTAGTGACGACCGGCTACTATCGCAACTTCGTGGAGAACTATAGCATAGTTGCCGCTCCTTTGACTGATTTGACCCGCCTTGACACCCCGTGGAAGTGGACTGAGAGATGCGAGGCTGCTTTCAGACATTTGAAGCATGCGTTGACGCATTATGAAGTCTTGAAACTTCCTGATCTTGACAAGCCATTTATAGTGACTACGGATGCTAGCCAATATGGTATAGGCGCCGTACTTGCACAACAATGGTGAAAAAGTTGAGGCCAGTTCAGTACATGTCCAAGAAAATGCTGTCTCAGAAGTTGGCTAAGTCCACCTATGAGAAGGAACTCTATGCGGTTTACAAGGTCTGACCCATTGGAGGCACTACCTCCTTGGGAGGTTCTTTATCCTCAGGACTGATCATCAGACCCTGAGATGGATGAGAACTCAGCCGGTACTCTTTGACGCTCTCAAGCGTTGGATCGAAGTCATTGAGCAGTATGACTTCGAGCCCCGATACATCAAGGGCGAGTACAATAAGGTTGCTGATGCCTTGTCATGTAAACCTGATTTCTCAGGTGCGCTGATGACCGAGTTCAATCTTGCGGGCAATGTTACTCAATATTTGGTGGAAGCCTATCGCGAGGATCTGCTCATGTCGGAGATCATCCGCAGCCTGGAGGCGAAGGACAAAGTAACTTCCGCAGAGTTTGAGTTGGTCAACGACTTGCTGTTCCTTGAGAAGGCTGGGAATAAACGATTGTGTGTTCCTAATGGAGAATCTTTGTGTAGTTTATTTCTAGGAGAATGTCATGATGCCACCGGCCATTTTGGGTACAAGAAGACCGCAGCCAATCTGCTGCAGCGGTTCTGGTGGCCCACGATGATGCGAGATGCCCAACTGTATGTGGAGACTTGTCAGGTCTGTCAAAGGGACAAGCCACATACTCAGGCTCCTCTTGGGCTCCTGAAGCCCCTTCCGATTCCTGAACAGCCTGGTGAGAGTCTGTCCATGGACTTCATGGATACACTGGTCACCAGCAAGAGTGGGATGCGACACATCTTCGTCATCGTGGATAGATTTAGTAAGTATGCTAGATTAGTAGCAATGCCAGAAACAGCAAGCACGGAGTACGTGATCAGAATGTTTAAAGAAAACTGGGTCAGGGATTTTGGTTTACCGAAATCCATTATCAGTGACAGGGATGTCCGATTTACCAGCGAACTGTGGAAGGCCGCTGTTGCAGAACAGGGAACTCAGTTGCAAATGACTTCTGGGAATCACCCAGAGGCCAACGGTCAGGCCGAGCAACTGAATCGCGCTGTACAACACCTGTTGAGGCATTACATCAAGCCCAACCAGGTAGACTGGGATGAGAAGCTTGCTCTCATCGCCAATCTGTACAACAATGTGGTACACAACGCCACCGGGGTGAGCCCAAACAGTTTGCTATTGACTTTCAAGCCTAGACTACCCTTAGATTTTCTCCTTCCTGAGAATCAGTCAACTGCTGCACCAGGTACTTTAGAATTTGCTTACCGGTATGAACAGAAGATGCAGCAGGCTATAGAACAGATGCAAAAGGCACAGGCGGCTATGATAGAATCTGCGAATAAACACCGCCGTGAGTCTTCATTTCAGGTTGGGGACAAAGTCTGGGTTAAGTCCTCAGAACTGGGACAGGAGCACGAGATATCCCGCAAGCTCATGCCACAGTACTTTGGACCATGGGAAGTCTTAGATATTGTTGGGACTGATCCGGATGGACCTTCTTATGTAGTCCGGATCCCTGGACATCTCCGTACTTACCCTGTCTTTCACGCCTCCAAACTTGCACCGTTCAAAGAAACAGATCAGTTTCCATCTCGTCGCTCAATGCTGCCCCCAACCATGGACGGAGAGGTGGATATCGACGACATTGTGGACCACAGAGAGTTGCCAGTTTCAAGATGCAACAGGCAGGGGTCGTCTTCCGAAACCGAAGCTGAAATTCCGCGTTCGGTTCCGACATCGTACTGATCCTAAGGAGGACCGCTGGTTCACCAGGGAAGAACTTATGCAGACCGCTCCTCAGGTTGTGGCTCATTACGAGAAATCTCTGCAAAAAGGCAAGCGCCCGATGATCGAAGACTGAGCTTCTCAGAGGACTGTTGAAGCTAAGGAGGAGGGAATGCGAGGCCACTGCCTCTATGAGCCCCATTCGGCCCCCATTTGGAAGCAAGTTGGCCGCCCTAAGTAAAGGCAGGCTCGACGAGGCCCTCAGGGCCCTATTTCGGCCACTGCGCAACTAAGGAAATTCAGGCGGTTGCGCAGCGCCAGTTGGTTGAGAAAACCCAGGCCCTGGGCCGCCTGTGTGAATGTATTGAAAGCAGGCCCTGGGCTGGATACGGGTACTGGGCCAAACACAGGCCAAAGGCAGGTGGGTGCATGCAACTACCTCAGGCCCAGGGCCTGTCCTTGTTCGTACTGGGCCTCAGGCTACGGGGGCCTACTGGAAGCTTCCTAGGACTGAACGCAGGCAGGCCACTTCGATAAAGCAAAGGGCCTGCCTCCGCATTGCGCATTTGGGTGCTGGCTGCATGCTGCGCTATTTTGCTGGGGCGAGCAGGGAAGGAGCAGGCAGCCATAGCCGAGCTGCGCTGCTGTAAGCTGGGTGTGGCGCTGGTCCTTGGGTGCAAGTGGCATCTGTGTGTTGGGGAACGATTGTGAGTGTGGCGAAAGACATACCTGGTGCTGGAAGCGTGCGACATAGGTCGCTGTATGCTCGTACTTCAGGAAAGCTTTTGACGTAATCTTTCGGCATTGTAGTCAAGGCTAGATAGGATCTGCCATCTGTAGTCTGGGCGCCAAGCGCCAGATAGGATATCAACATTGGTTCTTCATTGATGATGATGAGACTTCACCAACATTGTCAATTTTGAGCTCTTGGTGTCTTCTTATTTGGTGAAACTCGTGGTGCAATTCTGCTGTTGGTTCGAGGTCATGACTATCTGGACTTGTGTATATGATGCTGTTTGATTGCTGTTCGCTATTGCTCATCTTCCTTGCAATTTGGTATCGGAGATGTGGTACGATTGCGCTCATCTGGCGCTTGTCTTCTGCCTTATGCGGTACATACATGTGGTCTGCTTGACGAGTTTGGCCGTAAGTGGTGTGTAGTGAGGAGGGCGGAGACGAGTGATTGGCGACCCAGGAGGTGAGGGGATCGCCAGGAAGGCTACGTGGTGTAATGTGGGTGTTGGACAGTGTGATGAGAACTATCTAATGGTTGATTGATGCTGAGGTGGAACGGCGAGACAATGCTGGTTGTGCCGATGCAGTGACTGGGCATCGCAATCACCATCAGGTCATCTGGTGAGATTATCTCTGTGGTTGGGGGCAGCTATTTGAGGTACGTTGCTCTTAACCTTATCTACTCTCTTCGACACTTCTTACCGTGAGGTTGTGTGTTCCTTCCTGAGAGTCCTCTGATTGTGAGGTGTCGAGTGCACTCAACCTTGAGAGTCGGCAATGTTCACATGGAGCATCTGGGAGAAGATGGGCGGAGCTTTCTGAAGGGCCCTGGACGAAGCACTGGGTCACGGTCACCATGCCAACCCACCGGGAGTAGAGCACGCATGCTTTGCAGCTTGTCCTTTGTTTGGCTTGCTGCGCTGTTAGATGGGTACTGAAAGGCAGGCCAGCCCTATGGGAGACGAGACCGGGCGTCTTTAAATAAGCACCGGAAGGGGAATCATTGGCTGTGATCGTCGTGATGCAATTCTGCTGTTGGTTCGAGGTCATGACTATCTGGACTTGTGTATATGATGCTGATTGATTGCTGGAGTTCGCTATTGCTCATCTTCCTTGCGCTTGAACCTTCGACCGGTTTTTGATATCTTTGCATAGTGGGCATTCTGATTCGAACTTAGGACCTGCTTTTTGTGACTTTTGCTCCGCTGTGTAGGTCAGAAAGACGGGTTTTTGGACTCGAACTTAGGACCTGCCTTTTGTGATTTTTTTCTTCGCTGGGTAGTTCAAGAAGACCGGTTTTTGGATTTAGAGGCGCTTCGAACTTGGGACCTGGCGACTTTGACTGCTGATTGCTTCGTGGTTCGTCTTAGAAATTCTCGAAGTATCTGCTTGGGATGTGCCGTTTCCGGCGACTTCGTAAGGTTGACGGTCTGCCTGGCCCGAGAGCCAGTTCTATTGTAGGATGAGCTTGAAGATATTAGTTCTGTAACAGACCTCTCAGTCCATCTTGCGCTAGGTATCAGTTGACCCCTGATGAAGCTGGACAGGCGACCGGCAGAAACACGGTGTACGGTCTTGTCGCCTGAGTTGCGTCTGTGTTACCATGTTTATTATTTTTTTTGACGTATACCTGCGCTCGGTTCTAAGTCTCTCTCCTGTGTGGTGTGCCGTGTGTATGCTGTGTGTGATTTGACACTTATGTGTATCTCACCTTGACTGATGTTTGTAACAGGAGTCCAAAAGACAGACCCGATGGCCAAAAGCAGCAGCAGACCATGGGAAAAGATACTAGGACACACACTTTGCAACAACGGGTACTGGGCAGAAGTCCCAGACACTTGAGACTGAATGCAGGGCACGCCAGGCCAGTCCAGCACTATAAAGGACTGGCCAGCCTCCCATTTGACAGATGCTCATCTCGCATGAGAGTGTGGAAGTGCCGTGGCACGTGTGCACCAGATGTGTGTGAGCTGCGCTAAGCTGAGAGCAGCGGTACATGAGGAAGAGGAGAGGGGCGCCGGCTGGAAGGAAGGCAGCCATAGCTGCGCCAGCGCCAGTTAGTACATTAGTAGGGATAGTTAGTAGAAGAGTTCAGTGAGTAGTATTCAGAGTAGATCCTCGTGTGATAGGGAGTGTGCATGCATGATGAGTATGAATAGACCAGGACTAGACATAGAGGGAGAGAGAGAAGAAAGCAGACAAGAGAGGGGGAGGAGTGAGCGATGGTGACACTTACCTGTTGAGCGTTGTTGTTGACGTTTGGCAGCTGGTGCTGATGAGCGCCAGGCCTGGAATTAATGTTGATTGAAGAAGACTTGTAACTCTATTCGGCGCTGAATATTTTGGACTCACGATGTTCCCTCTTTAATCTGGTTTGAGTTGAGCTTCCTGGTTCATATTCATGTTCTATTGGGCTTTGTGTGAAACATCGCAATCAGTGTAAATGCATGTGATCTGAAGCACTCCAGCAAGTGTTGAACAGTCGGGTTCCTTGCAAGTTGGACAGTCTCGATAGTAATCAATAGTACATGTATCTCTCTTTCTCTCACTTCCACTTCTGGCTTCTCCTCTATCACCACCTCAGCAATGCATGTTCCCTCTCACGTCCTCTGACATAATTACTGCACAGATCATAGTGGGGCATCCATCCTCCCTCCACGTCAGCAATGAGATATAGAGGATGGTGCAGCACTTCCTCACCTTCGTGGAGACCAGCAGCAGATCACACGTATCGTCGCTAGGCAAGTCCAGGTAAGCTTCCCTTCATCTCCCGTGAGTCTCACAGCCCTGATCCACCTCCTCACCAATCCTCATCACCTAGTCTACAGCTATGTGGCTATTGCCGTGGTAACATAATCTCCCTCCAGGCTGGCGCCCTCCAGCAGCGTCTGGTGCCAGTATCCCACTCCAGAAGCCTCGCGATACAGCACTGGCATCAAGCCAGTGCAAGGCAGAAGGCCTTCCCCATTGTCTGACTGTCCTTTCGTAGCGTTGACATTTCAGACTTGCCCAATCTCGGCCTGGATGCAGCCTTGAAGCAGCGGTACCTTTTTCCAGTTGGGACTGGAATCTTCCGGATGCCTGCAAACAACCATTGATGTGCATCTGATCTATGGCAGGGGCTGACTACTCGTTGACTTTGACTTTGGGCCTGCTTTTCCCATGCTTGGTCTGACTCATGATTTTCCAAGAGTCAACTACCTCACGTGGGTGGGCACGACGCTGTTTTTGACCCAGGCCCTGATACCCCTTGACCTTAGGCCCTTTACATTTCTCAGACTTGGGACATTACCTTTGACCACTGTTTCTGGCCTTTTCACCAAAAGTGACGACCCTTGCCCGACGGGGTGGCCATGAACTGAGTTTATTGCAATAGTAAGCCAATTATGTTGGGTGTAGGGTTTCGAAAAGCAGGTATGTTATGATCCTGGCCAATTTCGAGATACACATCCATCAGATAGTACAATGCTGCCAAATTGCAGAAAGAAATGAATGAACTTGAGAGGGGAGAGAGGATGAGAAGAAGAAGAAGAAATAAGAAAGAAGAAGAAGATAATGTACACCAGCATAGACAAATGACAAGGCTCTTC